AAGTCTTAATTTATTTGATAAAAATATTACAAATTTAAAACAACTTTTTTATTTTTTATATATTTCATAAATAATTTTCAGCAGCTATTATGCCAGCCTTCAGTGTCTAATGATACTTCAGAAATCATCCTAATATGCTGATTTGCTATTATCATCATCAGTGTTGAAAAAAGTAGTCCTGCTAAATATCTTTGTATAATATGAATTCCTTATTATCTTTGTATAATAAGAAATATTTTCAGGATATTTTTTTGATGAACAGTTTTTTTCAAAATTACATTTAAAATATAAATCTTTTGTAACAATGTAAACGTCTTCAGTCACTGTCACTCAATTTAACGTGTCCTTGCTAAATAAAGGTGTTTATTTAAAAAATATATATATATATTAATTAGCCCAAACGTTAGGGTAAGTATATTAACTTTTAAAAGAGAGTAGACAAAAATGCTTTCCAGAATCTATATTTTGCTGCTGACACCAAAGGGTGTGTCCAATCACACTTTTAGTGCAAATGTATCTCTCAATTGCTTAAAGTTAGTCAAAGGAACCAGATTCCAAATGGACAGGTTGTGAACTTGCTCTCTTCCTTAAAAACCATGAACTGTGTTACTGACCCCGGTGTGGTTTGTGCAGCAAATTATTGGCTGACAAGAGCAAAAAGTAGTCCAAATTAAATTTGACAAAAAATAATATTGGGTTACCACATGTACAATGTAAAATCTGGTTACTAAGCAAAACTTGTTTACAAAATTACAACATTAATGACAGCTCACCAGGAATGTGGACCTGACATTTATTCTTCAAAAAGGTCCCACGCAGGTAGCCGTACAGAGAGACGGTTCTGTCACATTTGGGATTTAACCTTATAGCCTCAGGATCAGTAAGATCTTCCATACTATTCGGAAAAAACAAACAAACAAATCATTGGCTGTTAAATGTAGCATATGCTTAGAAAGATAAAGAATAAAAGAAACATTTTTTTTTCAGGTCACTCACCGGTCAGCCAACACATAGGGGTGAGAAGTCTGCCAGACAAGAGGCCTGAACTTCATGACGGAGATGAACCGCCCAAGGTTCTTAACTTCCTGTATCTGGTATTCTCCATACACCATTCCAGACAGGTAAAAGAGCTTGGCACCCTGCAAGACTTTTATGTTCAGACACATACAGTTCTCTTTAAAAGACATGTCAGTTTTATGCTGGGTTGTTGACGTACCTGGAAAACTTCGGTCCAGAATCTGTGTTTGAGGCGTTTTTTTGTTTTTCGAAGTCTCTTGTTGTCCTTGAAGGTGTCCAAATGTGTAAGAACCCCCATGATCCGGGGGAAGCCATGAACTTGGCAAATATTCAAGAACTCAAAGGTCTCCATTTCAAAGCCAAAACTTGCATCAATCAGCATCAGAACCTAATAAAGTCAGGATATCAGAGCTGCATTACTGGAGAACATAATTTAGTATTACAGTCTAATATTCAAATAAAACAGATTTTTGAGGCAACTATTAATATTCAAAAAAAAATTCATTAAATTGGTCAAAAGTAAGTTCTATTCACCAAAGAATACTGAAAAAAGTGATCATGGTATCCACAAAAATATTAACCATCACACCTGTTTTTAACAATGAAAAATCAGCATAAAGCAAAAGCAGTAAATCAGCATATTATAATGATTTCTGAAGGATCATGTGACACTGAAGACTAGAGTAATGACTGCTGAAAATTCAGCTTTAACATAACATTATTTAATTATTAAAATAAAACATAAAAATATTGAAATAGCATATTGAAATGATGCAGGCTTGCACTCACCAAGTCAGCAACCTTTGCCAAATCAATCATGGTGTTGATGTCATTGTTGCACTCAATGAAGGTCAGGCGGCGTTTCTTTCCTATAAAAAATTCCAAGAAAAAAAAAAAGTCACATCACAGCTTATTGATTCTGTCTGAAAAAGTCAGTACACTGTTGCTCTGAGGTATTCATCAGTTTTAATCTTACCGCAAATGTGACATTTGATTTTTGAAATGTGACACCCAAGGTGGATGTTAATATCAGGTGTAAATAGAAACTATTTATATAGTTTTTTATAATGCATTACAAAACTGACCTGATACTATAGTCACGGGTCCACAGATGTCAGAAAGCTTCTGCCGTGTGAAGTTTTTGATCAAGCATCGAATAAGGGTGCTTTTGCCCACTTTTGGAGGTCCCATCACCACTATAACAATAGGCGGGGGTTCCAGGGGGTCCGATCTACCAGGGGAATGTGATGTTTCTTTGTTTTAATATCCTGAGCCCTACAAAATAATGTTAAAAGAGATTAAAAGCAAAGAAGGGACAAATAATTTGACTTAAAATATAAAAAGTGAAAGTTATTAGAACAAAGGGAATGAAAATTTGAAAATGTTTCACTCATTAATAGGATAAAGTAAGTGGAAAAATCAGGGGAAGATGGGTTATGTTGAATGAAGCTTTCTGAACACTGACCTATGGAAGGTTTTTGCCATGCGCACAGCTGACTTAACACTAAACGCTCGTGGGTTCCTCTTGCGTTCATCCTGCTCTGGTTCGGTGCCATGCTCCTTCTTTCTGTTCTTCTTCTGTGCTTTGGGCCCACTGTGCTTATTCTGGTGCCGCTTCTGTTCTTTCTTCTCCATCTTTGCTCTTCAGGAGATAAGACAGATTATTAGCATTCAGCAATGATCTTTATTTGACTTCACAGAATGATGTAGATGTCTCGCATCCAGCTATTGACCAAAACTACCAAAACTCTACTTAACCTTCGGACAAGAGCTGCCGGGAGACAGCTGCAGTTTTTATATTGCATATTGATACTCTCCAGCAATTTAAAGTCTGAAATGTCATAAAGTCAAACCAATATCTACTAAACATCAAGAATCAGTAAGACTTTACTTCCTACGCATATCTAAAACACAATGGTTGTGAATAATAATACACTGGCTTTTGAGACAGAACAAACTACTAGGGGTGTAATATGATACCTCATGTCACGATTCAATACACATCAAGATACTGAGCTCAGCTCATGATACGATATTATTGACAAATGGCAAACATTTAACAAAAAAATTACTGTTGATTAAAATGGTAAATTTTATTTTACATTGTGGGTGTAAATGAATAGGCTTAGACTTGGTGCTGGTTAACAGTGACAATGGTGACAAACAGATAAAAATATAAGCTGAGCATATACAATTATTTTCAACGAATATGTTTGCATGTTGTCACTATCTAGATATATTTAAAATAATGTAGGCCACTTTTTACTGGTAACATAAGACATTTGGCATTATCATGACCCACAAATATTCCCCCATTGCATTATTCTACGTTATATTTAACATTATAAATAGCAGTATAATGTATAAACAGCAATTTTCATTTTGCGTGAACTATACACAATATAGTTTCACTATCCACAATACTGTATTGAATACATATTGTTGTAACATTATATTTGTATTTTTGCGATATTTTTGACACGATATTGTTGCACCCATATAAACTACACACATTGAATCGTGAATCTAGCCAAACCCACTGGTATTAACCTCAAAACAACTAGAAATTAGAACAAAACATGCATGAACAACGTACATTTTGGACAAACTGATTTCCTTTTATTTAGTTTCAGGTATTTTACACTGGAGCAATTGATGAATAAACACGTTTTTCTTTAAATCATTATCAATGCAGTCACTTTTAGGTATGGAAAATAAATCCTCACCTTACCTCACCGCGTGGTTACTGTTTATTTCGATCACCTGCACATATAATCGCAGAATCCAAGATGTTAAATCATGGTCTCACATCAAGCGCACAACGTGATTCTCTCTCCAATGTTTACACGTGTGTAGCGCTATACGCTTCCGGTAAGAGGCGGACCGGAAGAGGTTCCGTTGGACAGAGTCTGTCTTGTCAAAATGGACCCTGGAAAGATCGTTCCGTGTCACACGTTCCGCATACAAAATACTTTCCTTGATTATTGTGCCTAGATGTTGATTTTATGGTACCTGTAAAAACCGAATGTTATAACAAGTTGTTTAGCAACAGAAAACCATAAACTCGTTAAATAAGCATGTGGTCTTTGAAGTAAAATGGATTTGACTCACATATAACGATTTTTTTTTTTTTTGATGAAAAGAAAGAAAAAACACTGAACTGAATGAAATCCCCACTACTGAGGCTGTGTCTAAAATCACTTACTCTCTTGAGGTAGCCTACTTATTTTAAAGTAATTCAAGGCCGCAAAAAATAAGTATGTTTAGAGTGTTTGTAGTACGAAAGCCATCTAGATGCACTTGCCATTATCATGTGACCTACCAGCATTTGTTTTGTTGTGTGTTTTTTTGTTCACTGCCATTCACAAATCCTCTCCCATGGGCTCATGGGTTAAAGTGTCCATCGTATGCACACTTCAGAATCTCGCCATGCCATTCAGGTACTTTTGCCTACTCCTTTATATGGTCTACCTTGAATTCAGACATACGTCTTTTGTACTGGAAGAATGTCACCCTGTATGTTATCAATGTAATATGTCCAGACATGTCTTAAAGGCCCTTCCACATATGGGAATCAAATCTAAACTTCTGGGGCGGCAGTTGCTCAGTGGTTCATGTAGGTTGTCTACAAACCAAAAGGTTGGTGGTTCCCCCAGTTCCACCTGATCAAGTGTCGTGGTGTCCCTGAGCAAGACACCCAACCCCAGATGCTCCTGACAAGCTGGATGGCGCCTTGTATGGTTGACACTGCCATCGGTGTATGAATGAGTGAATGTGAGGCAATATGTAAAGTGCTTTGGCAGCCATTATGTCTATGAAAGCGCTATATAAATGCAGTCCATTTACCATTTTAAAGTTAACTTTCGATTCCCAACACCTTGGAATCAAAGACTGACAAAAAAAAAAAAATATTTCAACATTTTATTTCAAATAAATATCAGTTATTTTACAAAGTGACAGTTAGGTTGTATGAGCTTCAGTAAATGTAAATAAATATCCCAACTGCACTGTAATACCTTAAAAAGAGCATAAAAAATAAATAAGTTTTTTTTTGTGCAACCATAGGCTACTGTTTACAATAAGTTACTTTTTGGTGCAACCGTTGGCTACTGTTTTAAATCTACTCCTTGGTAGAAAATAATAAATAAAGTCCATTAAATAACAAATGCAAATAAAATGTCCAATGTGGATAGCTGATATTGCTCTGTAACCGGCACTTGCACAATACCATGTTTTCCATATAGCACAGTTAAAAAAAGAAAGAATTCCCTCAAGTTAAACCCCATGTTAAAACAGTGTTTCTCTCCTAGAGTTTATGGATGTTTGCTAGATTACTTTAGATCCATCTGGCCATTGAAGTTCCACCAGGCCGGCTCCATTTCCCCGAGGACATCCTCCAGATACTGAGAGGACAGAACTGGAAGTGGGGCCACAGGCTGCTCCTCAGCGACGCAGTTCCATGGGCTTCCACAGTCGGTGACTGCCACAGATGGAGAGCAAATTTCAAGTCCCATGTCCCAAAATGCAGAATCAGAAGAGGCCGGAGAAGTTGGAAGTGACTCCAGGCCACTAACACACCCAACTCTGGCACTTCCATGAGGATAAGGAGGTGGTGGGTAGAGGAAGAAATTACTCTCGTCCTTGTAGGAATTCCCAAAACTCTGTACTGGGAGACTCCATGTAGACTCAGGAGAGCTCTGTGTGCTTCCTCCAGAGCTCCAGCTGTCTGACATAGCTTGCAGATCAGAGGGAGAACAAGAGCTGGTTCCCATCAACCTGTTCTGTCGAGGCTTAATGGCAGGTGTGCTATAGTCACTTGGAGGAAAAGTAAAGTGCTGAGGAGACGTTTGAGACATCTGAATGTTGAAGGATGACTCTTGATTGCCTCTCTGTTTGCCACTGACCCCAACACTAGCCATGTGAGGGGGTAGGAAAGGGCTGGGCAGAGGAGAGGCACTGTCTAGCTTTGGTGAGGACCAACTGGCTCTGTTCTTTTGGGTTCTGGCTCTCTTGTTCTGGAACCACACCTGTAAAAGAAAAACAATTATGTTGGAATGTTGATGATATAATCATTTTTATACTTTAAAAAAAAAAACTGTTTGTTATCTGTATTGTTATTTATATACCTGAATCCGTGACTCTGGTAGGCCAGTGGCTTGAGATAGACTTTCCCTGACACTAATACCAGGGTAGGGGTCAACTCTGAAAGCCATTTTAAGTAGTTCCAAGTGCTCTTTTGTGAAACTTGTTCTCTTCCTGCGGCCTGCAATCTTACTGGCCTGTGAGTCTCCATCTTGAGCTGTAAGAATAAAAATATATGTTACTATTAAGGCACACAAATGATTATTGCAGGAAATAAAAACTTGAAAGATAAATTAATTAAAACAATAATACTTACCAATGCAGTCCATCCACATGTCTATCAGGAATCACTTGTAGATAATTCTGTTAGGACTGAGTGGGTTGAGCTGGATGTTGTTTTACTGCTCCTTGTACTGACCCAGAACTGAGAGTAACCACTATTTATACCTGCCCACCGTGGTCCAGAGGGGGCCGTCCTAACACTTTTACACTTTAAAGGTTAAGTGGACTCTATGATCTCTATTGGGCAAGTCACACCTTCAAACGTGCCACACCTTAATTTACACTTCATTTATCCATCATCTTTTGTTGTTCATCACAAATACTCTATGAATTTGCAAGTATCTCAAGACATTTTGTAAGACTGTTGAAGTATTGAAGTATTGTTGCTTCCCACCTTTTTTACTACTTAAAAATAATTATATTTGCAGGTAGTACCATATTTTTGTATAATATTACATGCATTTAAATAGTATTTTTTGTAAATAAATAATAACTATTATACAATAAAATAATATACAAGTGAATGCTCCTATGCGTTTATTTTTTATAAGCATTACTATATATGATTATATACAATTTTACATTTAAAATGCAGTATATGATCATTAATTTGTAAGTACTCTTAAAGTTGAATGTTTAAACAAATAGTGATGTTTTTACTAAAACATTTTGAAAATGTAATATTCTAAAGTTACATTAATTTATCAATTATATACCATTTATTATATTTGATTCATATTCATAAAAAATAAAATATGTTTAAATTTAGGTTTATGATTTATACTTGACATACAAAATGTATATGACTTGTGAAAAATGACTCATGACTTGACTTATACAAAACGTTTCATTAAGCAAGTTTTTTCACTCATTTAGAATTCTTAAATAATAATATGAATAATATGTAAGGATTATTTATTTCAATTTGATGGTATTACTATTAATTGAAATGTGTAAATCTTGTCTAAAAAAGTCTATAGAACTAAAATCTTGTTCTGTGTTGAAACATTCTCTCAATCATATAGAAGTTACATATATACTCTATTTATTTTCAATTAACAAATAAACATAAATAGTGGATCATATAAGAAATAGATTTTAATCCCTCAAATTTCAACATTTTGTGATAATCAGATTTGAAAGGATTATGACCTGTGTCGTAGGTGTGAATAGGTTTGATGAATGTGTTCACGCCTCTTTGATTGATATGTTCCAATCAATCTATACAATGGCTCCAATATAGCTATTTCATACCCTTTAACAGCTGTGAATATGCCTTTATTGATACGAAAAGACCTCAAGCATATGTGATTTTTTTTCTGACAATAATAAAAGTGTGATTAATTACATATATCCCAAGCTACTTGGTTCTATAGAAATTACTTTAAAAAGCAGTGGGATGTTCTTATTGAAACAACAAATACAAAACTTACTGTAAGCTAATTTCAAAGTGTTTCAAAACCTTGAATTCAAGTCAAGTCAAGTCACATTTATTTATATATCGCTTTTCACAATACAGATTGTATCAAAGCAGCTTCACAGTGATAACATGAAAGTAGTACAACACAGATCAACAACATTGCTAAACACTAAATAACCCCAACTGAGCAAGCCAAAAGCAAGGCGACAGTGGCAAGGAACCAAAACTCCATCAGATTGGATGGAGAAAAAACCTTGGGAGAACCCAGGCTCATTTTTGAATTCAGGACAAAGCTCTTCCTTTTCTTCTATTTCTATCAAAGAGCTAATATTTCCCCAAGGCATTTCTGACCTGGTCATCATCTCAATTCTGGATCTTATAGCATTTTGCCCACAATGACAAACAATTACACAGTAATTCACAAATCTGAATTTTGAAGGGCTCTGATCTCTAATGGGCAAGTGACACCTTCATATGCCATGCCACACCTTAATTTACACTTCATTCATCCATCATCTTTTGTTTTATATAACACTTGATCAATGTGGACACATCAAGACAATTTGTAAGCCTATAGAAATATTACAACATGAATTACTGCTATTTTAAAATGACAACATTTGCAGGTTGGTACATTACCATATTATTTCAGTATTACATTTTAATGGCCTTTTTATGTAAATGAAACACAACTTTGAAATAGTTTATGATCCCTTTATTGAATTTAAAACATTATGAGAATACATTTAATTTAATGCATTTTTATGCCTAAGCAAAATATTATCATATGTGAAATATGTCAGACTAACATTTCAAATATTTAGGTCATTTTTGTTCCTTTTGGTGGCCTTTCGGCCCAATGAAATTTCTGACCCTGGTCATCATTTTCTCTAGATCTTATCTTGGCTTTTAAGACAAACAGCAAATTACATAGGCCTACTGTTCTTCTTCTTTTTGGAGACTCAAGTTGAAATATTTTTCTGAAAAGGACCATGTCTGTTTTGTAATTTCACATCATAGTAATAGTCATGTAGTCTATTGAAGAACAAAGTGTAAAAAAACTTCTAAATAAATCTGCATTAACAATCATAATATAATTTATTTAGGCCTATTAAACAAATGTAGGCTAAATGTATCTCCTCTAATGTGAAGTGAACGTTTGCCAGATTTTTCAATCAATCACTGTTGTTTATAAACAACTTGCAATAGCCTAAAACAACAGCTTGAAAATTCATGTTTAGTGTAGGCTAAATACTATTTAGCCTACACTAAACATGAATACTATATGTAGATGCCTTATCAAGTTATTTAAGTACATTGCAGTAATGTTTCGTTTATTCTTTAGACTATTTTTGATGACCCTGATGTAGCCTCTTACATAAATGTAACTACCCGAAAAGCATCCATGTCATTATTACCATCGCCGTAGCACTGTATGATTCTTAAATCTAATTGCGCATTTCAGTGCGCCAGTATTTATAACCTAATAAACACTATTTAACTATCCATCAGACTATTGTAGGTCAAGATGGCGCTTCATGTTTTAGAGTGAGTCATGGCGTCCCTAGAGTCTACAAAACAGCAGTAGCCTATGCATGGCCACTTTCATAGATGGACAAAACTGCGTCTGAAACAGACCGAAATACGTGGATTAAACTTAAAACAACACTTTCTATTCAATAAATCAAATGAAATTTGTATTCCATTTAGAGAATTTGTTTTGAGTTTTAAAAATAAATATATGTTCGTAAAGACGATCTAATGAGTGTTTCAGGTAATCCATATTCATCCGCTCTGAGTTCCTGCCTCACGCGCATTGAAGGCAGCGGAACCCGGATGGAACTGTCATGGCTGCCGTCACCGACCTGCCAGTCTAAAGAGAAAAGAGAGGTAAAATTCTCTAAACTGCGCCTATTTGAAACAGCGGTTTTAATTAAGACACAATAACATTCAATTCCAATCTAACTGTGACTTTTTTGGAGTAGTGCGCTCTTACGTTGACTTCTTTGTGTTTTAATCGTATGGTTGCATCCAGCGTGGGTGGGGGCGAGTTGCTTTATTTTTGTTGATGTGGATAAATATCATGGCTTATGAGTGAATGACTTTTGACATTTGTAGGTTTATCGCTAAGTAGCGGGATAGTCGGTGTGCATCCAGAAATGCACGGCCATAATTGTCGTGTTGAGTCGATTGACATGGCACTTCCTTTAGTTGGCTGTGCATTGTGCGTGTCGGCGCGGTGCACAAAGTTGGTGAATGTCAACTTAATTTAAATAACTTTATTTCTTCGCAGATGCAAGACTTTGTTGGTAGGAGTTGCTGGTTTTGTATCATGTTTTAAAAAAGTTTGTTTGCGCATCTGTAGAAGGTTGTGAAGTAATTCTGATGGAAAGTTTGGCTAATAGCAATTGTGAAAAATGAGAAAAGATAAATCAACACTGTCTCTTACAAAGATGTGCGCGGATATGGGTATGAGATACGATAATGCTTATGAAGTTTACACTTACCAAGAGAGTTTACATGATGTTCCATCCATCACTTCACATCTTGGTTGTAAATTAGTTTGGAGGTTATCATATAAACATGAATTCATTTAATTCCTGTGTTCTCCTTGCTCGTCAGATGAGAGCGAAATGAAAATGTTACTGCATTTCTTGCATTTTCTAAAGTTTTGTACTAATTAGTAATGCTGGTCACAATTATAGTCATTGGGAGTCTGATTGCTCAGTTGGTTACCATCCCAATAGATTGTTTGTTTGTGTTTTACTATCAATCAATTGCGTGGAAACGGGGAATATGATCAAAGAATACATTTTTTACTTTTCATTTGATGTAACAATTTTGACATCTAAAATTCTATAATGTGTACCAATCATTTGTTTTAATATTATTGAATTGTTTTAAAAATTACTGAGGTTGTTCACACTGTTCTCAAATGTAACCACTGGCATGTTTACCTGCTGTATTGTGATCCTTTTTTATATATGTGCCAGAACAATCTTAAAAATTAATTTAATAATAAAATGCTTAAATATGTGTCTCACATGTATCATGATGTGTTTTGCATGCTTGCTTTTACGTAACTGACACATACTCGTTTTTCAGAGCTGCAAACTAGAATTAACTGTTGTTAATTTAGGCTACTTAAGACAATTTACACCAGCCATGTAAAAAAGAGTTGTTGATGTATTTTACACACAGTGTGTGTAAAATACACACAACTATGTGTGTACACACAACTATGTGTAAAACTATACACAACTATACACACAACTATGTGTAAACAATTGAGTCAAAAGTACATTTTGACAAGATGTTACCAGTGGGATTAAATTGGTTAATGGCAAAGTTTGATTGCTGTATAATTGTTGAATGAATCACAATATTTAATCTTAAAAAATAGATTTGATTTGATATTGACATATTTCTAAATTATTACATTTCAACAGAGTTGGCATTTCTCAGGGTTAGACTCTACTTATTCTCCACAGTAAACATTTTAAAATAGTATTATGTATTAGCAGTTGTTCTTAGGTGACCTACACTACATTGCATTACGTCATTGCACATTTAATTTAGCAAGTGGTATCTGAAATTCTGCAGTTTGAATTTCTTGTGCCAGTTCATTCTTCACAAATGAACCAAAATTAATGGGAAGTGCTATATTCTGCACAGTAAACGGAGTACTGCTAATTTTGAAAAATGTAGTGGATCGTCCATGTATTTTATAAAAAAAAAATTTGCATCCCATGCCTATTATCTGTTTATTTATCAGATATTGGCAAATTTGATATATATATATATATTTTTTTTTTTTCTGGATGATATTCTGCAAAATTGGCACAGAAAATGAAAACTAACTCCATCTGGGCTCCTAATTATTACATTTTTGCAACAAAAGTTTTCATACTCACTCTGCAGTATATCATTTGGCTGTTAAAGGCTATAATGTGACAACCAGTTTTTCCAGATGCAAGGAATCACGACACAACTAAGTTTCTTGACACAAACTAAGACAAGTATGAAAGGCAATAAGATATTGTCTGTCATTTTTGAATAAATACTAGTATTGTAGACTGCACTAGAGAGAACATGTAGTCTATAGCCAAGTCATATTGTGGTTTAAAAAAAAGACCTTTAGTGTAAGTTAAATTAAAGTAGTCAACATTTGAAGTGGATCAAAACCTTTCATCAAAGTTATACATGAATTACCTTAATTAACAATACCTGTTTTTGTCTTAGGACGACTTTGACTAACTTTTTTTGATCCACATTAAATGTTGACTACTGTATTTCTGTAATACATTTATATTCAACATATTGCATATGCTTGATTAAAGTGTAAATTAAAGCATTACACGATGTATTAAATAGAGGTATTTTTTCTTAAATGCTGTAAAACATTAACTGTACAGTAGTATTATTCACTTATTACAATATGGTAATGATTTTGTTTTGTTTTTCTTTTCCAAATATTGCAGGAACCTACATTATAAAGCATGGAGGTTGACCTGAGCGCATCAGATGATCCCTCTGAAAGCCATGACCAGAGCAAGGATGATGACCCCTTATTGGACCACACTTTGGCACATCAGCTTCCAGAGACAGCCTCTTGTAACGAGCAGTGTGACCAAGATGAAACACACCCTGAGGAGTCATCCACTGATAATCTTCAAGTAGACGGCAAAGCTTCTGGAAAGACTCCATGTAAGATGCAGCAGGGTGCAATCTTCTCTGGAAAAATACTGAGTTTCTGTTGCTCTGAATGCAAAGACGACACCACTTACAGCCCTAATGACTTGCTGAAGCATTTTCAAGGATCACACAAAGGAACCCTTCCAACTTATCCTTGTGATCTGTGCTCTTTTGTCACCAATGAATTCTCATCTCTTCAGCGACATCGCATTGGACATCGAAACACTTTGGTCACGTGCGAGATTTGCAACGATGGGGTGCAGTATTCACTTCTTTTGCTCACCAGGCACTTTACCAACTGCCACAGCCGTAACGGACAGTTTTGCTGTAAAAAGTGTGAGTTCTCCACCAGAGATGCAGGAACCTTTGTTCAGCACATCCATCGTCACAACGAACGCAATCACAAATGTGTGAAGTGTCCGCATGGTAGCCCCACACAAGGAGAGATTCAGAAGCATAGCTTGGTGCATTCAGGGACTTTTCCTTTCTCTTGTCAGATATGTGGCTATAGTGCAGCTCGCAGAGAGTACTTGAACAAACATCTTACAGTGGCACACGGTGAGGAGCTGAACAAGAGAAGAGCAAATGAGGACAATTCTGGAGTTATTTCATCTGGACTAAAACTGTTGTTTAAGAAGTCCCCTCCAGGTGGAGGATCCAGAGAATCGCAGTGGATGTCAAAACTTAACTCGCTCCCTGGTGTAGGTCTGCTCGATCATAATGGCAGGTTGTTTAATCCTGAAAAAACCTTGGAGGATACTCAACAGTTTCTTGAAAGAGCTGTTGGGGTTAAAAAAGAAAATAATAAATGGACAAAGTCTCCCGTACAAAGTGAGCCACAAACTTTGCACCTTATTCCATCAACAATGCCACAACCAAAGTTACAAGAGCATGAGATTAGTTCAGGACTTCTGAATTCAACCAACAACAATGGACTGACTGTTCTTATGGTGAAAAATAAAATATCTATTCCACCAAACTGTACCACTAAAGTCATGGGCTTTAAGATAGTAGATGGTAAAAAGCATTTAGTTCTGAAAGTCATACCGACAAAACCAGAAGACTCCACTGAAATTGAGGTTTCTGATTTACACATTGGTGATAATGAAGATAAAACAACCAGCAGCCCCTGCTCTTCATCCTCACCAAGCATAGGATCTCTCCTCAGTTTAGAGTCTGGAGAATCAAATGAGCCGTCTTCAATAAAAGAAAAGTCACCGGAAGTTGAAAATCACACTGGCAACCATCTCCCCCTGACAGAGGAGCACAAAGTTAGCTTGAAGGTTGCAAGTAAGGCATGGCAGGTTAATAGTGAAGATACTGAAGTCTCACATGGTGTTAAAGTACTCTCTACAGCATCAAAAGATGTTGCACTTTCTCTGTGTCAATGCCGCCAATCAAGTGGGAGTTCATGCCCGCATCTTCATGAGGTATCTTTCCTCAGTTCAAGTGAAAAAAGCTACATTGATGACATACAGACAGCAAATCCAGCCGCCACACCTCCTGTTTCAAAATCAGAGCTTTCCTCTGCTGGTTCTGAGACTACACTTTCTGATTTGCAAACTGCTCATGTAAACCCATCTGAATATGAGACAACAGCATTAGCTTCAGTTATGGATCAACCCTCTGCTGATGAAACCACACATCCTTCCTTTGACTCTTCCAATTCAAAATCTGATCCTGATATGTGTGTAGATGACAAGTTCACACACATTGATATCCTGGAATCTAAACTTCCAAAAATAAAAACGACAGATAAAACATTTTCTGTGCTGTCGGAAGAATCTCTTATCCAGGAACCTCGATTCAGTTCAGGTGGTAAACCATGCAAGAATAATTTTGAACGGATCTGCCCTATTAAACTCTCTGTGAAAAGCATAATTGATTCACTGGCTGCAGAAGGGAAGGATTCTAATTCTCACAAAGTTGAGACCACATTTTGTGAGATGACTGACATTAAGACTTTTAACCCAAAAGTTCCCGAGACCTCTCAGTTTTACCCAAATGCTCCATTTGACTCAAGTGAGAACAACGCTTCAGACAGTGTAGTTGGAAATTTACCTGAAGTCACTAAAAACAAAACCACTGAGGCAAACGCTCACAATGAAACAAGTAAAGGTGCATCACCTGATGCCAAAGATTGTAACCCAGAGGTTGAAAATAACTTTTCCCCACTCAATTCCCCAAGTCAAGAGGTCTTTAGTTTCCACAATTATTCTAAAGATTCCTTCGGGAGCTCTCCTGATTCATTGCAGCCTGAGGAAGACTTATCGATGGGGCTAGAGGAAGAAGAGTGCGAGGAGGATTTTGGTGACTGGAGCTTAACTCTGCCAGCATCGCCTCCTCTTCAAGTGGAAGAAGATAGCAAGGGAGTGGCTAATGAGAGTGATCCGCTCTCTGAAAGTGGAGAGAAAGCATTAGAGCGAGTGTCCGATAGTGATATTGAGGTTGATGAGTGCATAGCTACTGTTGATGATTCGCTCATTCCTGTGCTTCCAGAAAAAGAAGTAGAAACGACTTGTTCATCCTTATCAGAGAACAAACCCGAAGGCATCACATTTGCAAATGAGAACACGGCGGCAAGCTTGAGTAGCGCAGCTGTTTTGGGAAAGATACTTGAAAAGCACTCGGACGCCATTATCAGCCACCAACTTGAGAAAGAAAGAATGAGGTCTTCAGGTACAGGACAAGAAACTGTTAGGCCTGCCAAAACAACACTTCGGATTTTGCAAACACCTGAAGGAAAACAGCAGATGTTCCTTCAAACTACAGACACTCCATATGCTGTGCCAGTTCAGCTGAAAAGTGGGGCTGGGTTCAAGCTGATTACAAAGTCCAGTTCCCCCAAAATTAATGTGTCTTATGTAAAACCTGGGATTGAGACAGCCAGCAAGACTAAGGGAATAGCTCTGACTTTAAATGGAGGCAGAATTGGCATGTCTGCACAAAGTTCAAGTCTGAAAACTAATGGTCAAGCGCCTATCCAAATGGCACCGAGTGGCAGTGGAAACCGCTATTTCGTCAACGCTGCAGCTCTTAAAACATCTCTTCTTTATTCAGGTGCTGTCAAGTCCTCATCTGGAGAACAGGCAACCACTATGCCACAGACTTGTTATTTAGTTCAGAGATCACTCCCTGTTACCCCAGTTAGTAGTGAGTCAAATGGTCCAAGTTCTAAGACTGTGATCTCAACTCGTCCTGTATTAGCCATGCCTGTGAATTCAGCAGATAAAACCAGTCCCTTGCAGCCTGGGAGGCAAGCTTACTTAGTTAGATACATATCTCCAGCTAAGTCAGGGATACTTTTGAACAATTCAGATGGGAAAGCTTTGAACCAGGGCAACCAAGTAAATGAGGCGGGCAAAAACAGGGTATTCCTTAAGATAGTTAGAGGTCCCAACGGCACCAGATTTCTCTCCACTGCTCCATACACCACAGCCAAAAAGCCGGTATACCTTGCCACAAGCTCTTTACAGTCCCCTTGCTTGTTAATGTCCTCAAATAAATCTTTAACCAATTTGTCGGCAGGTCTAAAAACCTCTACTAACTCCCAAGGTCTCACTCATAAACTCATCCCAGCATCCCAGCTTAAACATATTTTACCCCAATCCAAAGTTAAAAACAAAAGCAGGGCTGATTATGATGTAGCATTAAAGAAGTTGCCACTTGTTCCCTGTCCCATCCGTCCACGAAGCCAAAGGAAACGGAGGAGAAGGGCTTTGTTTGAGGAAATGCTGGAGGGCTCCTCCAAAATAAGGAGAATCTCAAGCAAGTCGTCTGAGAAAGATGCTACCTCAATTTGGGAGCCTGTTGCGAAAGATGTCATGAGAATGCTAAGGCTCAGTCCCTTTAGTCCACTTCAAGAAATCAAATGCCCCCGTCGAAACCAGCCTGTGGTTGTTCTGAACCATCCAGATGCAGATATTCCTGAAGTTTCTAGCATCATGAGGTCAGTGAACAAATACAAAGGTGACATTCTCAAGGTGGCACTGTCCCAAAGTACAGTTAAAGCCCTCTCTGAGTCTCCAAATACACTTTCAAAGCAGAATGCTTCCAATGGCATTGGGAGTGAAAGATCAAGGCCAGTGGGAGGCACTGTTCAAGAGAGATTCATACTAAAACTAAAGTTAAAAAAGACTAGTAGAAATAAGTATGAGGTGGTAAGGTCTTCATCTGCTGGTTCAGTGCAGCAGTCAACATTTTGTTGCTGGTTTTGTGGCAGAGTTTTCAACAACCAAGAGGACTGGATTGGCCATGGTCAACGGCATCTAATGGAGGCAACAAGAGACTGGAATAAGCTGTTCTAATGCAACTGCAGAGCCCCTGGATTGGGCCAAATGCCATCCTACATTGTAGAAAAAAAGATGTTTTGTTTTTTTGTTTGTAATATTTTCCTTTTTTAAATAGTACAGTAAGATACAGTTAACCTGTCGATATTATTTTTCCATAGATTTTTCTCCAGAAGCTTTTAAAGGGTATAGTGTAATAGAGAAGCGTTTGGTACCTGAAATAAGTTAGAATGTAAATAATTTTCACCCTTGTATATTTAAATCGAAACCCTTGAGTATGTATAGAATGGAACTGTGAAAACTGGACACACTGTATGTTTATGGTGCAAGCAGGAAGATCACTGGTATAAGATGGTGCTGTCTCTTATATACCTTTTTTAATGCAGACAATTGAACCAATTTCTCAGGTAATTCCATAGTCTTTGAATAAGTGAATGGTCCAGTTTATAAAGAAGTAATTATCTTTCATTCTGAAGCTGTGTACAATTGTAGATTTAAACATTATTTTAAGTACAGTTTAAGTTGGCTACATATGTCTTTCTTCCTACATCATTGAAACATATTGTTCTCCCATTTATGTCTTTTGGGGCTTAGATATTGTGAAAAGTTCAAAATGCATCTGCAAATTTTAAGGGATAGTTAAATTCACCCTCATTTCGTTCCAAACCTTTATGACTTTGTTCTGTGGAACACAAAACATGTTGTTGTTGTTTTGGTTTTTTTTGGTCATACAATGAAGACAGTGTAGTTTGATGTTGTTTTTGACCCCATTGATTTTCATTGCACGGGCAAAACCTGGGGAAAAAAATCTTCAGAAAGTTTTGTGTTTGTGTTCCACAGAAGAAAAAGTCATACAGCTTTAGAATGACATGAGGATGAGTATGAACTCTTCCATTAAGTATTTTAGAGTATTGCCTAAAAAAAAGCCCAACTGGTTCCTGTGGAAGCCATCCTTTTGAAATGGTGTTCTGTGAGGTGGTTTGCCATTAATACGCTGTATTTGTTCTCATGTTGTTTCTTAGGGTCAGTTTTGTATCTACCTTCATTACAACAAATCAGACCCGGTGTCCCTTCAGTAGCAATAATGGACTTTATAATAGTTTGAATGTTTTTTTTGTTTTTTTTCTGAACATGTATTCTGAACCTACATCTGTTAGTTATGGCTTTGGTGCTTTTTGTTGTCCTTTCACTTATTTGAAATGAAGAAATGCACCTGTAAATGTACTATTATGCTTTACTAAAAACGAAAGATTAAACATGATGTATTGAGATGCAAGGCAACAAACCTCAAATAGCCAACCAAACACTAACTGTATTTTAATTTTTTGTGATACTTGAGTGCCTCATTCTGCCTCAAAGTTAACAAGGTCTGTTTCATTTCATGGTAAAGTCCACATTTGTAAGATTTTTGTGTGCTTAGCAGAGTTCAAAGATTAAGATTGACCATTCATTTGTGCTAGACCACATTGATTTTTTTTATGCTTTCAACTGATTTGTTAACTATAAAAGCAGAGGTTAAGACTTTTTTTATTAAGACTATTTTTGAGACACTATTTTCTCATTGATAGCTCAAATATCAAGCCTTTAAAAAAAAAACATGGGTTTCTGTCCCTTATGAACAGTTTTTTTTTTTTTAACATTCACTATATCCTTTGCATTTAAAGCATGCTTTTCTAGACATTTGATGAAAATGTTTTATATGTCAACACAGTTAACATGTCCAGATGTGATACAGTGGACTCAATGGTGCTTTTAAATTGATCTGTCAATCTGCTTTTTAAGTTTCTCTTTAAATGTTGACAAACGCCTCACACATGTTTTGATTTTTCTGTGTCCATTAATCATTCTTTGTCCATTGTGATTGAATGAAGCTTTGATGGCAGAGAGGTCACAATCCATCCATGATTTAAGTAGCGACTGTTCAGTGTATTATAGTTGTCATACATTAGTGATTTATCTGATGCTTTACTTTCCCGTGTTTGGTCTGTTTCTATTCTAACACATGAGAACTATGTCGTTGGCATATGAAATTTTGTTTTCAATATTCACTCAGTATGTATGTCACCCTCTTTGTGACATGACAATCACTGTTATACATGTGAAGTAGTGGAATTGTTTATGCAAACCTTAACAGTCAACTAATATTCAGCTCAAATCACCCTGCTCGAAACAAGTAATGTCACGCCATGAATAAGCAAAAATATAGTCCTCACTGAGACATCTGTCAACCAAATGTTTGTCCTGAGGCAAAAATGTCCTTCCTTCCTTATTGTAATGTCACACAGGTTTTTATTAGGATCTGAGAGACAAGTTTATTTTTTTATGCTAAGTGCCTAAAATGTGATGCACCAGGTTGACACTATATTGTACTGTATTTACCTCCTTGCAGTTCCTTCTTTAATAAATGTAAATACCTTTGAAGAATGGGTTTTTTGTATGACTCGACACTTTTATTGCCCCAGGGGACGCCTATTTATATTTTGGTATTTATGTGACTTAATCTTGAAGATGGAGATGTTGCGAGGAAGCAATCGCCTCTAGGTGGCAGTATTGTATTAGATTAATGATGTAGTACTGTCTTTATGACGTCATTAAGAGGATGTTCTGCTAGCACATTTGTACAATATTTTGACTTCATTATATTCAACAGTATGATGCCAACACATGGGTTTCTTTAGAGATATCTTAAGATATAAAATGTGGAGAATAAAACATTCTCCACATTTTTTTATGAGGAGTCAACTACATTTATTCTTTTTTCTTCTCATTACAGAAAAAAATAGTATGTTTACCAATGCATCACCGGTATTTACTGTGAGGTCTAATAGTATTAATCTAATTTTATAAATTGTCATGAATTTACAACTTTGTTAAATGTTTGAAAATTAAACCATTTCAGAGAACTTTATGTTGATCTGCAAGCTAGGATAATACAATTCGTTCAATTCACAAATTTTGCCTTTTAAATAAAATAAAAAATAAAATAAATAATATTAAACAAGTGAATTTATTTAGGCTATGTATATTGTTTAACAGTACATGACACTCCAAATGAATGTATTTATTATACTATATAAGTTGCTGTCCAATACACGCTCTAATTTACTAGGCCCTGGTTAGCCCTTCATTGTCATGAAGGCTCTGTCATGATAATGAGGGCAAAATCTCTACCCAGGCTATGATTTGCCGTGAGTCATTATGTCATGATGAGGATATTTGAAATGCATAAATGGGGCATTGTATCAGGAGAGACTTAAGGCCTCATGAGTAGATCACAGATCCGAGACTGGGATCGACCGATTGATTGTGTGTGCTGGTATTCAGTGCAGGAAACATTTGGACCCTCACTGAGCAGGAAAGTGAGAGACGTCCGCCTGCTTTGACCGTATTTAAATAGGTCAGGCTTGTACCAGAGCTGTCTCAGACTGCCTCTGACTTCCTGCCATTGAAGTGGTTCAGGCCATGGAGTGGCCTGCGGGAAGGAAGGATGGCAGCCCATTCCGTGAGAAATGAAGCATTAACTCACAAAGATTAGAAAAGAGAATAGACTTCACTGATTACACTATTGTAATACAGTCACCATTTTGTTGCACAGTTCAATAAGCAGATGAAGACAAATTCTGCTGTTTTTAAACTTCTACTTGAACTAAGATCATTAGTAACTGCAGAAGTAATGCCTAATCTGTATTTTTTCAATGTTTTTAAATATACATTGGTATGCTACAATATGATAAATAAAATGTTTGAAATGTAATTATCAAAAACAAAAAGCTTATTAAATTTGTATATCATTTGTTTACTAAATTAAGGTCTATTGTTAACAGAAAATAATTACTAGTGATGGCGGGGACGTCTTGGCCAATCTTACCCTATATTTGACGTTATACAATCAATAATTCCAAAACCTTTTTAAAAAAAGAACCATCCTCACAGTTTAAACAAAGGAGGCTATTTATAAGATACCTGTCCACTTCTCCAGCTCACCACACTTGTTCTATTCCTATCCTGTGCCATCCTACGCCTATGGATCTATTTATCCTCCTTCCTCTTCAGTACATCATTTTCACTGCTCCCTCCTCCTTCCTCCCTCTCTCTCTCTCTCTCTCTCTGATAGCTGTCAGAAGTGCGTTCTGTCCATTACCATTTAAACCAAAACCAGAACATCAGAGATAACCACATGCTTGCATCTATATAAGGCACAAAATAAATAGGTCACACAGTCCCATGAAACTCTAAATAAGTAATGTCAAAGGGTGAAGTAATTGTCATTTTTTTAGTGGTAGCCTACTCAAATACTATCTGATTCTGTGGACTGTCGTAGATAGAAGCACTTAGCAGTGTTAAAGTCAGCATGAGTTGGAAATTGTGAAATGGCATGACATCCCATTGAGCAATTTTAAACTGCTTCCCAAACAGATTTGAAAGCACAACAAATCATGCATTTTTTAAATAACAAAACTTAATAAATGAGAACCAAAACATTGTTGTAAGTATGTCTTACAATAAAATGCAATAAAATTAATTTTGGACATTAAAAAGAACTTACAGAAATATGGGCTGATGGAGGAGCTTATTGGTCATTAAGGCTGTTGTGTTTACACGGAAACGATTCTGAAGAGAAAACGCAAAAGTGGCGTTGCGTTATCACTTTTTATTCTGCGTTTAGACGGGCGTTTTGGGTGGGAAATCCCAACGCATTCTATGCACTCCAGGCGGCTAGGAGTGCATACTACAACACCAAATCCGCGCGCCTGCGTACAATCTTCACTGTCTAGCAGACTTTTGCGTTTTTACAGACTTTTGCGTTTGTAAAGGACACGGGAACGTGGCGGTGGAGCGTTTTTAAGATTTCCACTTTGGAGGGTGGTTTCACTTTTTTTGCGTTTTTAAGCCCCAAAAACGCCGTCGCCGTGTAAACGAAAGGCACATCCGATAAAATATTTTTTACGTTTTCACCCGCGAGCGTTCTCGTTTAAACGGCCCCGAGTGTTGAGAAAAAAAAAACCCAATAATAAGGTCCGGGATACGGAATACACTTAAAGTTACATACATGTTAAATCTTTTTAACTATTTAACAACATTGACTTGTAATAGTCAAAGACTTGCTCACAGATTGCATTATAGTCACCTCACCTGCTCAGCGTGTGTTGCACTAATATACTTTGAAACTGTAGTGAGTAGGCTGCAATCCTGTGGGATTAGAATTTGTGTTAAGTTCATTTGATTTTTTTCATCAAAAAGTGGGGTTAAGCCATTTCTAAAAGTGAAGGTACGTGCCCACCCCCCAATTATGGTCGCTAGTCACCATCCCCTGAGTAACACTAACATTACTGTGATTTTGCTGTTTTCCACATTGCTGTTTTTAAGTCAGTTGTTATGGAAAAGAGTGTATTACATGTGATTAATATTGTGGTGCTGTTTGCGGGGTTATCGTCTCTGCAGAAGAAAAAAAAAATAGCTAAAACCAGCCTCTGCTGGTTGGCTGGTGACCCAGCAGAGGCTGGTTTTAGCTATTTTTTGTCTTTGCTGGTTTAAACTGGTCAAACTGGCCTCCCTGCCTGGTGTTCATCTGCTTTCAAATTCTGAACAGCTAAGACCGGACCAACTAAAGAGGTCAAAACCCGCCTGCTAAACCAGACATAGCCATAGAAGACCATCCCAAGACCAGCCAACCATCTTAGGATTTTTTAATAACGAATAATTTGTTAGTCATTTTGTTGAGAAGATTAACAGTGCCACAATTTTAGGATGATTTGTCCGAGATGAGTTTGACGAGTCTGTATTTGGACTATGACACAATCCCAAAAGAACTCCCTGACCTGAGCCAGTCAAGTGTGTATTCTGCTGGACAGTGTTAAAGGCCACCAGCAGATGGAAGTGAGGAGCAGCTCCCATGCAGTTCTGACGCGATTAGAAGCGAAGGCGTTTGTCTCCACAGAAGATTTTAACGACAACACCCAGTGGGTTACTCGGTGAAATCCACATTGCGTATTCTCATTTAGCTGTGTGAATTTGTTGTGTGGCTTGAATGCATTTCGCTGTTTGTCTTCCACTTCAACTGACCAGTTCACCCCTGCATTCTTCTGCTTTTCTTCTTGATTTGGATTCTGACATATAAGGCCTCTTCAATTAAACATAAAGGGTTTTTCAAGAAGTCTACTTGTCAGGACCTCAAGAAGCCTTCTGGGAAACTAAGTGTGGGCAAATGTTCAGTATAAAACATTGAAAAGTTCCCAAGCATGTACTATCGATAACCTCTCACAGCTGTTGAGTTGGAGGCTAAAAACTCCCAGTAAGGACAAGCTGGCAGTTGTTCGTCATCTCTTGGTTCCTTCAGTTCCGAGCCGATGTCAGAGTCCTTGACAACAGAATGTGTGAGCAGGGATCAGCTGCAGAACGGGGAGGACTGATGAATAAACAATGGTCCAGGCCCTGCAGCTCTTAAGACTCAGCAAGAGCTGAGACCCAGCCATGATAAGCACACGCCCGACTCAAGGCGAAGGGATGATTTTGACAAAGCGCACTGGCCTTCACACAACACTGCAACTGGGCGGAATGAGAAATAGATCTAGTTAGGGAAGCACTCAGGCAACTTTGAGCATTATGCATTGGATTTTCGCACAATACTTTGAAGCCTCTAGAAAGAGAGAGAGAACAGGACCACATCAGGTGATAAAATACATTTATTGGAAATTGTGGCAAATGTTAAAAAAAAAAAATGGCTTTGGGGCAGGTCAGAGCACAAATCACCAAAAATGTACTCACCAAAAAACAAAAAGAAACTGTAGTTCCTTCGCTATCAATGACAGGTGGGTTATAGGTGAGGATAAAGCACAACACATGGCAAATCAGGCAGCTAGACAAATTTCATTTTCTCCAGGGATTCAAGGGGGTGCTTAATAGTATCCATGTGTTACAAATCTGCAGAAATAATGGGTTGGGTGAGGGGCATTTTGAATAAAACATTTTTATTTCTTTTTCTATTTTATATTATTCATGTTTTTTTATTATAATTTGGTGACACTCTGGGGGCCAATAGACAATATTAATTCCATGCAAATTTATATCTTGAGTGGTTGTACTTGTGAAAAATGCAACATGATCCCTGAGCTCACAAAGAAACACAACATAAATAATTATCCAGATGTTCCACATGACACTTCTGTTGGCATTAAATATTATTATTTTTTTATGATTAAATAATGGCACATAGTATTAAAAACCAAATGAGACAAATATGATCACATGGCATTGAAAAAAATATATATATTACTTCTTAAATGTGCACAGAATCAAATAGCTATTTGCAGATTTCAGTGATGGTGTGTTTGCCTTAATTTAAATCAAGAAAAAATAGAATATGCTCACAAAATCACATATTAAGTTTACCGAAAAGACAAAATTGCATCTGCGCCAACTTATATTTTATAAGTCAGGTTTTGATTCAAAATATAAAAAGAAGTAAATCTAAAATAAATACTGTAACATTCAATAACCAAATCACATATCAAGTTCAATGAAACCAAGGCTAAAAGCAACACAAAAGTAAGTTTTACTGAAAAAAAAATGATGTAATTTACTAATCTAATTTGACACTCTTTAGTGATTTACTTTTTAGTGGTATTATGTAAATACCACTCAGTAAAAAAATATTGCATGTGTGATCTTTCAATTAACGTACTATATGATTTACCAATTATTACTTACAATATGAGTTGATGCAGATATATTTTTTTTTTTTTTTAGGAAGTTCATTTGTCAAATGATCAGTGGGTAAATTGTTAAAAGACATTTTCTATGAGCAAGGTGAGTTGGCACAGTGATATAAACTGTTAATAAGATCCTTTCTTCTAATGTAGAAAGTGAAGTCCTCCATTTTTTGCCTCAGAATAAATACCATGAGTGTTTCCAGGAAGCTTAGATGCTTTGCTGTCAAACACATGGATGCATGTAGCCCATTAGACATGTAAATGATTGCTTCCTAGATTACAGTGAACATGCTTTAGTGCAAGATGAGACTTTTGATCAACGCAAAACTGATTGGTTCTGTAAGGCAATTGACTTGAACTGATCTGCACCTCATTGACAGTAACTAAATACTGTATGTGCATACATCGCATATGCAGTTCAAAATGCATTCTTACTGGGCACCTCTCTTCATGATTTGTCACCATGGAAACACAGGGAGACTATTTGTTTGCTGTTTTTATGTCTGTAGAAGAAGAAAAATGACAGTTTCGTTTTGGCAACCACACACCATTATCAACATATCACAGATTACAATTGGTACTTTGGGCTAGATCTCAGTTTTAAAAAAGTTTCATTTTCATTATTGTACTATTTGCCATATACAACTGTTCATTGATTCATCTTAATTTCCGCAGTGATAATTCACAGTTTTCTTTCAAAGTGAAAATCTAATTAAATGCTGGTGTTTTCACACTTGGCGATCAGATTTTTTGTTTTGTTTTTACTAAAATGCAAAACGGAAAAGTGGGAGATTTTGGCACTAAAAGAGAGGACTCATCTTGCTATCTGGTATATACACACACACGCATGTTGGCACATGCAAATATACATATACACATGCATTCACTTCTTTCTTACTTACTAAACACACACACACACACACACACACAACAACATAATTGCACATTATGATACCATACCCAAAAACACATGTACAAAAATCAGCTTGATTATAAAAGACCGTTCAAATTAAAACGTATGTCATGTGATATTTGCTGCCATATCAAAATGTCAAGAGAACAAACCAAATGGAGCTGGGATGAGACATGAAATGAAGTCTGAGAAGAGGTAAAGAGAGGTTCAAACATCTTTAAAGGGGAAGAGAAGGTATATGGGGCGGGTGAGAGGGGGAAGTCACAGCAGAGGGACTACACAGTAGCTTAGCTCAGAGAAGAGAGGGCCTTTGGGTAACAGCCCTGGGACTACACAGTAGTTTAGCTCAGGCGAGAGAAACAGGTTAGCACGTAATTCACAAGCCTACACAGTCGTCTCGTTTTTCCAAGGTCCAGTCCTAATGTTACCCGTGGAATCCGAGGCAAGTAGGTAATCCTCCTGCTGACTACTGTTCCGGCTCAGCGTCCCTCGCCGGCTGAGGGTGCCTTTCCTGCCAAGCGTGGCCTGGGAGCATGACAGAGATGCCCGCGGAGGTGTTATATCCAAGTGCAGCATGGCGTCGTCCTGTTTATCTGCCATTTTTGCACAACTGTACATCAGCGGCCCCATGTCAGGATCTTCTGCCTGGAAAGAGCTGACAAACGGTTCAGCTTTAGGGCAGCATATGCTCGAAAACGGGTCTGCTTTGGCACAGCACATGTGTCTGTGGCAGGAGAGCTGACTGTCCAAGTGCCCACTATGGCAGGAGAGGCTATCGTGAAGGCTGTGTGAAGCCAGACTCTCGAGGTGAGGACTAGGACTGGGGCAGCGTAGCTGATTGTCCGGATGGGGGCTGTGACAAGAGAGTTGAGTGTCCAAGTGTGACGTGTGGCAAGTTAGAGGGTTGTCCAGGTGCACACTGTGGGGGCTGTCCAAATGGGAGCTGTGCACACTGCTATCCATGCTGGTGGAGGTCATATGGTAAGAATAGTCCCTGAGGCAGGGCCGAGGTCGGTTGAAGGATCGAGTCTTAGACCTGTCCTTTAGGCAGCTTTGCAGCGGAAGGGTTGGCCGGGGCAGTTCATCAGAGAGGGACTGTGGACGGGTCGCTTTCCCGATCGAAGAGGGACTGTGAAGTGTGGCACAGCAGGTGCTCATATGGTTCTGGGTGGAAGGCAGAGTACCCAACTTACAGTGTGGCGATGGCGAGTGGAGGTGAGGGGAGAGCAGAGGGTTACCCAGGCAGGACGAGTCGACCTGGCAGTGGATTTGATTCTGCCCGTGGGACGGGGTATGGCTGTGACTTTGGGAGCCGGGGACGGCGTTCCCTGCCGCTTCCCCATTGACCTCCACCTTTGGTTTGTTGGGGCAACAGGCCCACCACCGGTGCCACACGTCGTCACGTTTGGCACAGTGCTGTATCAGCAGGAAAAGCCCCAATGTGACTGAAAATGCTCCGTACAGGCAGCTGAAGATCATGTCTAGAAAATGACCCTGTGATACAGCCAGCGCGCCAAAAGCCCAGGTGGCCAGGAAGAGGAAGAGCGTGAAGGCGGTGGCCCTCAGCTGAGCTTTGAAAGAGTGCTCGTTGGCCAACATAGACGCTGTGATGGCTGTGCAGCCTGTGTGCTCACCATGCTCACCTGGCTCTCCACTGACGGCGTGGCAGTGTCCGATTTCAGCCACGGCTAGACGTTGCTGCTCTTCGGTCATGGCCTTGAGCTCGTACTTGCGCTCCGGGTGCCGCTTTAGCTGCACGAATGTGATCAGAAAGTAGATGCACATTACCAAGACCAAGAAGGCAGTGGGTCCGTAGAAGCCGCCCAGACTGGGCGTCCAGGCCATCCAACAGCTGCAGCACAGATAGAGACAACAATTCAACTGACAGTGTTAGTACCACTCTACGTCTAATTACAGACCTCATGCTAATTTGTAGCATTAATTAAGACACATCTCCTGGAATCAGTGACACTTGGTGACTTCTCACTGGCTTGGTAAAAATGGAGTAAACATATTACAATTGACAGCTAATTAGGTACTGCCAGCAAATATGATACTTACTAAGGGGCGTCATCTCTGCTACCGTAGTTATCCAAGCTAACAGCAGCCGTAACACCCACAATGATTAGGGGTACCCCACCACTGACCAGATAAAACCTAACAAAGAGGTCAAAGAGGAGAAAATGTGGTTAAAAAAAGACAGAAAAACAGATTTTCATTATCTGATTCAAAATGATACTTGTCTAGGCATGGCATTTGTAAAGTATCCATCTATCTATCTATCTATCTATCTATCTATCTATCTATCTATCTATCTATCTATCTATATATATTGTATAAAATATATTCTAAATCTATACTCTAATTCTAGAACTCTAAATCTATAGATCTATAGACTCTAGAAATCTACAACTACTAACTTTCTATTCAGGCTTCCTCAAGCCAACATCAAAGTTTTGTTCACAAAATTACTCATCTAGTTTAAGATCATTAACTATGAAATCATTTTTATTTGTATTTTGACATAATGGGGTCGCAATATTTTTTTTAAAAGAAATTAATACTTTTATGCAGAAAGGAATAAAATCAAAAGTGACAGTAAATACATTTTTAATGTTGCAAAACAGTTCAAATAAATGCTGTTCTTTTGAGTCACAGGAATGAGTCTTGAGTTTGTTTGCCATCACAGGAATACCTTACATCTTCAAATATATTACAATAGAAAACAGTCATTTTAAAGTGTAATCACAATATTACTGTTTTAAATGCACCCTTGGAAAACATGAGAGATCCTGAGAAATCCCAAGTACTTTTTTATAGTAAAAAAATAAAAATAAACCCAGGTCTGAATTAGAATGACCAATTCATGGACATTCATGCAGTGTACCTGAAAATGGTGGCTTTAGGGCGTGCTTGTGTGGGATTGTCCCTGTCCTGAGGTATGGGTGGAGCCTTGGACACCTCCTTGCAGATATTTCTGGCAGTGAAGAGCAGCCATAGCATGCTAGAGAGGGAGGAGTAGTGCAAGATAATGCCAACCTGTCAACGAACAAGATGAAACATTAAACATTGAAAGCTCACTCATAGAGGGCAGACTGGCACAGAAAACTGAAGCAGAAGTGTGTGTGTAGCCGTCTTGGTGAGTGAGGAAGGATGCACTGAGGGGGAGTTTGAGGTAATCCTGATCAGACAGTGAGGTCATGCTGTTGTCTCTTTGGTCCACTCCACTTACCGCATAAGAGAAATCTTCCTACCCATCCATTCATTTATGATGCACATGACGTTTATAAGGGTTACTGGATGTAAATGAATATATGGTGTGAGTATCAGTCGTGTTTTTTCAATAAATTGTGTATATGTATATTTGTTTGTGTACATCAAATGTTGGAACAAATGTTAGTCACATAAATACATTAAATGTAATATTAAACTAAATATTTAGATTATGCAAATGTGAATAGGGTGATCTAGCATGAATGCTTCAAGAAACCAGACATGTGTCCTCAATATGAAGAACAATTCTTGTAAAACTCTTAAACGGTTGTCTTTTTCATCATACAGCTTGAAACAGCAGGTTACTGGTAAGCAGCAAACCACTTCCATGCAATTCAATACATTTATCTGTCTCTCATTCCAATTCTAATTCAATTCACAACCCTGATATTGTCATGTTTTTATTTGATATATTCTACAAATGACATGTTTCTTTTAATTCTTGATCAATGTAAAAGAGAAAGAATTTGACAGTCATCACTGCTCTACTGTAGATATACTGTGTACGGGGCCGCATGTCTAATGCATGTTCATTATGCTTCCAGTTATAAATCTGATGCTTTTAAACCTGGAGCTTTACTGACAGTGAATCAACTGCTGTCATTAAGTAAAATATGTTTAATGACCATGCAGCTATAAACATAATCAAATTAATCTAACTCACTGATCCAGGCTGGAAAATGTCTCTGATGAAGGAATAAGTGCTACACTTTGAAAGGCTATGGCAATCCTAGAGCCCCAGTGCATTAGCCTCTCACCACCGAGCAGCCCTGCCAAACAAAGCCCTCTGTGCCTTAGTAAATGGCGACCATGCTAATTCATGAGTCAAAGAGGCCATATGCTATAGTGACTCTGAGCCGAGAGCCATAGACACAGGGCATGAATAATGTGGTTCGCTCAGGCCAAATAAACAAGGTAGACTTACCACTTGACAGATCACAGGGTACTTGATCTGGTTGATGCCTCCTGCAAACACCCCAAACGTCACGGCAGTGTGGAAGAGGAAGTTGAGGAGCATGTGCCATCCTTTCTTGCTGATTCGGATTATGCTGCAGAGACACACACACACTCACATGTCAGATGAAGAGACAGTTGTGCCATGAGTAATACATCCACAGCTTACCACTGAAGCGAACAAGTAACTGCCTTTGAAGCATAATGCTATGACTAAAGAATCTTTTTAACCCCGTCTGTAAAGTGTCTCAAAAGTAGAGTGGCTCACTAAATTTGCCACCGACCCTCTAAGGTTAGAAGTGGCCCCCCTCTCGACAGAGCAAGCGTTACTCACTAGAAATAACTGTGACAGTCAGGGGTGATGATACTATAAATATTGGCGGTCTGACTCAGGATCACAGCACTATCGTGTCCCAAAAACAACCCCTACTATGACCTTCCAGTGTTAGTACTGGTGCTCCAAATAACTGCTGTATGTTTTCAGTGGAGGAAAGACAATACAAAAAGGGAATTTCACTAGTAAATATCACTGATTTCTCACTGCAAAAAGACACTAGACCAAAAAATATATTATTAATGTATTGGCATTTGGCAAATTTTAGTCATCTTTATTTATCAATGCCAGTAGTCCTGTAGATATCTATTGGCCAGCTTTTATTTAAATGTGGATTCATTTAATTGATTTATTTCTCCTAAACAAAAATGAGGTTACTTTAACATTGAATGGAGACTTTTGCTTGAGTCTCCTGCTTCTCTCAAATACATCACACACTGTGCCAATATTTGTCCATTAAAAATGAAAAAAAAATGTCTCTACTTTAACTAAAATAATGCAATAAACATTAACTAAATAACATAAAATGAAACAAAAGACACTAATGTATATTACTGATGGCAAAAATAAGAATAATACATACTTTCTACGCTTTTCACCTGTGACTCTGGACCACAAAACCAGTCACATGGGTCAATTTTCTGAAACTGAGATTTATATGGGATTTATAGATTTATAGATGTCTGTGACATCCCAAGTCACTCGGAAGTTCCGGGAGACTCCCGCAGATTGATCCCTGATGCCCGCAAATTAGTTCAAATCTCCCGGAATCTGGAGCGAGCGAGCAAGAGCGCGCACATACTGTGTTTCAAACCGTGTAGCATCCGCACGACAGAGAGGGAGAGAACCCTTGCGCATGTGTAGTAAAATTATAACCTGTGGGGGAAAAGGCATTTTAAACCTTATTTTAGGGCAAAGTCATCAAACTTTTTCAGTGATTTTTTACATATTTTATTACTGTTTCTACACAAGCCGTTTTTATGTTGTTGTTTTTTTTTTTTCAGATCTATGCTTTATTGAATCATTTATGTCACTGGTGCAGCTTAATTATAGTACATACCTGTGGTGTACAATGTATGTCATGATAGAAATCAGCAGGCAGAGCAACATCACTGCAGTGCAGGCGTACACCACTGGGTGCAGATAATCCCCTGGATATGGAGGAAATGACAGCACCCTCTTTAAATCCTGTCAATAAAATCAGAATAAGAGATGATTTTTTTCAAAGAACATGTCAAATGATAAAAATGCAATAGTCTTTATATGCACATTCCCCTAATTTGTTTCTATATAGTGTCCATCTTTGGTTGCAGACTCTTCACATATTACTTTGTTCATGTAGTGCTTGAAAAAAATCAGTAAGTTGGTGATGGTATGGATGCACAACATGAATAAAGTTATTGGATTTAAGAAACTGACCAGTAAAACAGTTATATCTATGTTAGTGTGAAATAAGAGGAAGAACAAAAAAGGGGATGAGTGGGAGGGGGAGACCAGAATAAAGAAAAACAATAGGAGAGGAGAGATTTGTCCCTGTGAGTCAAAGACTACACCCTCATACGCATCAATCTCTTTCAGCTTGTCTGTTTTATCACCCAGCCTGAAGATCGCCTTTGTTGTGTGCCTGAAGGGCTCCTTCCCCTCTGGAAAGCAGCACCACAGATGTACACGCATTTCTTTACACTCCAACAGACAAAATACACTCAATACACAAAATACACGCAATACACTAAAAATAAAGGTTCTTTATTGGTGTCAGTGGATTCATGAAGAACCTTTAAAATCCATGGAACCTTTCTATTGCACTAAAGGTTCTTTATAGTAGAAAAAAGGTTCTTTGGATTAATAAAATGTTCTTCACACTAAGAAAAAAAATTGTTCTTTTTAAGAACTGTTCACTGAAAGGCTCTTTGGGGAACCAAAAAATGTTATTTTATAGACATTTACAGCAGCACCATCTTTGATTTTTAAGAGGAATGAAATCGAGGCTGTGAGGGATAGACTCTTCTAGACCCACATCTCTTCTGCGGGTTGACGAAACTGCAAAAATATCTTTCCAAGAAATTTCAGAAGAAAAAAAGCTTCAAACTGCATGGGCTGTGTTAAATTATAGGTGATAGGAGCCTCATACTTCTTTTTACAGTGAATGCCATAGAAAACATGGTATACTGTCCCTCACAGCCTCACTTTCATTCCTGTCACGGCACTGCTCTGCATAAGGTCTATTGCTTCGATGCGCTAACTCCCTTTTGGAACGTTTATTTTTAAGAGTGTACGCTCCACATTAAAACAGCCATCTTCCTTTATTCTCCCTCTTTAAACGAGAGAATAACATGCAGACGTCATTCAACACTTCCTTCAATCTTCCTTCAAGTTATTTTTAGGTAAAAAGAAGTAATCAGAATGTTATTATCTCCAAGATTGCCCCTTTCAAAAATAAAAGACAGCCTTTAACTAGGACATATAAATTTGGTCCATGAAGGTATTAGCTGTGAAAAGAGCAACATACAAGTTGAAATCATAATACAAATATATATATATTAGGGCTGTGCAAAAGTTAATTGCGATTAATCGCATCCAAAATAAAAGTCTGTTTTACATAATATATTTGAGTGTGCTGTATATAATTATTTTGTATATATAAATACCTATGCATGCATGTATATATTTAAGAATTATTTGCGCTTAAATTCTGTATATATATATAAATACATAATCTATATATAAATATTTTATATAGGAATAACACATTTTCTTAAATATATACATGCATGTGTGTGTATTTATACAAAATAATTATATGCAGCACACACAAATATACTATGTAAACACAGACTTTTATTTTGGATGCGATTAATCGCAATTAACTTTTGCACAGCCCTAATATATATATATATATATATATATATATATATTAAGCCTAAAATATGTCCTGTATTGTATATGATTTAGCTTCATGGTATTTTTTGCACTTGTGTCCCCGTCTCCCAGAGTGCATGTCTGCTTTAATCCAAGGTGAGATCAGCACAATTGCTGCCAATTAATCAGTTTCCCATAAAGCATCACTCAGCGTCACATTATTGATCCTTTGACCTCAGTTGTTCAGCAAAGATAGCGTACCTTTAATGCCCAAAGACATCAAACCACTGTTGCACGGAAAGTTAATGCTGATTAATATCAACTCTTTTAGCGCCCCAAAGCATTTGAGAGAAAGTCATTTCAAACAGTATGCCCACAAAACGTTTATCAAGGCTTTGGGATACTTTATAGTCAGAGTTTGCTCTAAATAAAGATCTAATCAGGGTCACCTTACTACAGAAAAATCTACGAATTTCACTGAACACTCCTTTAGGATTTTTATTTGACATCGGTGGAGCTAACCAAAGTTCTTGTAGGTAAACCAAACATTTGCTTGTAAGTCAAAATACAATTTGCCAATGGGATTGGGTAAAAATAAACTCCAGCTGATGTCAGTGGTGATTAGACACTAGCGTAGGCGACACTGCAGATGCCATGCATAGACACACATTTCATTGCTCATCCACACTTTTCACTGTCAAAAACTCTGTTCTAGTAAGTTTTCCAAGCAAAAGTTGCTTCCAAACTATATACATCCGTTCAAAAATTTGGAGTGGGTAAGATTTTTTCTAAATTTAAATAGATTTTTTCGAAAAAGAATTCAGTCTATTACACTCTTTAAAAAATAAAGTTTCTTTATTGGCGTTTAAGGTTTCATATATATATATATATATATATATATATATATATATATATATATATATATAATATACATGTATAAAAGGTTCACACTAAGAATACAATTGTTCTTTTAGAAAAGAGTGTGCAAAGACTGCATTTATTTGATCAAAAAATAAATAAAAAACAGACAGTAATATTGTGAAACTTTTGTACATTTTAAAATAACTTTCTGAATTATTTGAAATAAAGTGAGCAATAATTAAAAATTGTATGTATCCTAGCTGAATAAAAATATTAAATTATAAAAGAACAATTATTTGAAATAAAAGTGTGCAATAATTAAAAATTGTATGTATCCTAGCTGAATAAAATTATTAAATTATAAAAGAACATTTTACTGTCCATTTATCACATTTTAATGGTACATTCTCTCTCTCTCTCTCTCTCTCTCTCTCTCTCTCTCTCTCTCTCTCTTCTCTCTGTCTCTCTCTGTCTCTCTCTCTCTCTCTCTCTCGCTAACTAAAGACTGTGTCTTAGTCTGACCAGCAAGCAGTTAATTAGTGACATGTAGTATGGTGTCCCATACTTGGAATATGTGCTATGAATTTCAACCATCCAAGTGCGCACACACAGCAGTGAGTATTGAACATACGTCCAGAGTAATGGGCAGCCATTTCACTGTGGCGGGTTAGGTGCCTTACTCAGGGGTAATAAGAGTGGAAGAGAGCTCTGTTCATTCACTCCCAACATTTCCTGCCGCTACTGAGACTCGAACCTGTGACTTTTGGATTACAAGTCTGACTCTCAGACCATTAGAACAATCTATCTTTTTGTGTGACTGACCAGTCTTGAAAAAAAATGGATGACTAACTTGTAAGACTAGTCTAAGCAATTTATGCAACTGGCCACTGGCTCCTGCGAACTCCAGCCTGGTCTAATCCAATCAGCAAGCAAGGAGAAAAAAGGTCAGTGAATAAAGAGTGAGTGAGATGCCACTTCAGGTCTCAGGCAACGAGCATGCAGAGAGAAAGAGGTCATTAGAAAACTGTACATGCGTCTAGTTCATGCATCAGGTTCACCACTGACCAGAGAGAAGGATGATATGTAATGTGGTCAAATATTAAATATTGTTAAATATTGTTACAGACATATTTTCTGTGTTGGCAGTCAAACTCCAGTTCTGACCTCATCACAGAGAAAATGCCAACAGGACTTTTAAACTACTGTACTGAGGAAACTAGGGCTGTCAAGCGATTAATCGGGAGTAATCGCATCCAAAATAAAAGTTTGTGTTTTACATAATATATCTGGGCGCACTGTGTATAATTATTTTGTATATACACAGACACATGCATGTATATTTAAGAAAAAAATTATATTTATATATATAAAATGTTTATATTATATATGATATAAATTATATATAAATCTACAGTATATACATGAAAACATTTCTTAAATATATACAAGCATGTGTGTGTATTTAAATATAAAATAATTGGTCCCACTTTATATTAAGTGGCTTTAAGTACTATGTACTTACATTGAACAATAAGTACAATGTATTATTGTGTTCCTGTTGTATTGTAAAACACTTTTGCTGCTATTGAGGTGTGATATGGGTAAGGTTAGGGACAGGTGTGGTGGTATGGGTCGGTTTAAGGGTAGGTTAAGGTGTGAGGGGAGGGTCAACTGTGTAATTACAGATGTAATTACGTAAATTAATTACAGCTGTAATTACATGCTGGAATTTAAAAATGTAAGTACAATGTAAAAACATGTATGTACACAATAAGTCCATTGTATCAAATTATTTGTTTCAATGTAAGTACATAGTACTTAAAGCCACTTAATATAAAGTGGGACCAAATAATTATACACAGTGCACCCACATATATTATGTAAACACAAACTTTTATTTTGGATGCGATCGTGATTAATCGTTTGACAGCCCTAGAGGAAACATACACTTATGAAATTTGCTAGAACTGCTAACATTCTGTGAACTCTTTCTTCAAACATTAACATTCCAGACAAGTCGATAGCACATTTGGTGGCAGAAGTGTAAATGCAATCATAATATCACAGACCTGGAAAAAGAAAACTAAATATACTATGTGGATGCAAGAACTGATAAAACATGACATCTAAAATGAGTTTTAAAATATGTGCCATTGAGTGACAAATTGTTGGGAGTTTTGAGAGGGTGATCATATGAAAACTGACAGATCCAATTCTAAAGCAAATGGAGGCAGTGAAACAATGGGAAAGAACCGGCTGCTGTCACTAAGACACCATGCTTTCTCACTCAGACAGGATTCAATATGATTAGCGAAATAGCTTCAGCCTATAGCTCTTAAATTGATTAGGGTATATTGTACGTTCAGGGGCCAAAGTGATTGACACTTTGCTCACAGATGTATGCGTAAAGTGATATTTAATGAGGCACTGAAATTGATTCATCAATACAGCGTCTTTACAGCATGCTACAAAGCCGAAACTGTTCAATCTCATAAAACGTGTTCATACTAATATGATGTTATAAAAATTGGTGTGACTCCTCCATATTTAGGTCTCCGATGGATCTTGAGCATTACGAGTGTTCTTGGCCTCTCCTTCTGTGTGCCTCAGTGAGCATGCTTATCTTAGAGACAAAACTTGGTCAATCAGTCTGCTCCAGTGCACAGACTCATCTTTCCAACAGAATATGACGGTTTGGGCTTGTTGCAGGCGTTTACAGATAAATTCATAAACATATACCAACTGTGCACACTCACATTTACACATGTGTACAAATGTTCCAAACATACATAACTCAATATATAAAAGTCACATGCAAATGCACCCACAAGGCCCATAGGCTTGCATGCACACACACACACACAACACAAAGACGTAAAACACACATTTTTCAACAACCGTCTTTGTATTCTGTTCTATCTACAAATGTTAAGACGTCCCTACCGTATAAACAACTAAAATGAATTACTATGTGATCTATAATTAAACTAACCTAAGTATGCAATTCAATTTTCAACTGCAATGTTGGTGGTAGGGGGCTGTGATCTTCACTGTAATCCTTGTGTAAAGTATGCACTTGTGTGCTGTTTAAGAGAGCTGCTCTGCACATCCCTTGCACTTTCATGTCCTCTGTAATCTGAAAAAGCTCATTTGCAAGGTCTAATGGATAATGTGGTGTTTCCGGGAGAACGTACTTCATATTTTTACACGGCTCTCTAAAAAACTCGTTTTTTTTCTAATTGGTCAAATCGCAGCATTCATCAATCAGATATTTTTGGATACGTCCAATGTTGTACAACTGACCGCTCAACCAGGATATTGGTTTCCCATTTAACCTGTGTTCTGTCTCACCACTGCCTCTACAAGAACAATAATGAAATAATCAATATTTCATTTTCAATTATTATTTATATATATATATTAATATTTAAATATCTTCAGGGTGATCCTGATCACCTAATATATAGAAAACAGTAGAATCTGGGATATTAATTACAATAAAAAATCATATTCAAGGCACTACATAGCACACTGAACACTACATAGAAGGCACTAAATAGCACACTGAACACTACAAAGAAGGCACTAAATAGCACACTGAACACTACATAGAAGGGACTACATAGCACACTGAACACTACATAGAGGCACTAAATAGCACACTGAACACTACATAGAAGACTGACTAAATAAAAGCAGAACTGGGGAACCTGCTGCTGTCTAGATTTAAAATGCGTTTTGAGATAAACATACATTTAAATAGGGATAGTAGGAAAATGGCCAGATATTTGGGCCCAAACTATGTTTGAAAAAAAAAATGTTTAAAAAAATGCAATAATAAGCATACTGTGTGCCAAACATGCACCCTCTATTGCTCTATTGCCAGACAGAAGGATAATGCTTAATGTAATGAACAGGTTTGTTAAAAAAAAAATAATAATGCATTTACAGAATAGGTCAGCTTATAAAATTATTTTAAAAATATATATATAATTGTGGGGCTAGAGAAAAGTATATAAATGAGCGTTGTGATATGATATATCAATAAATAATAAATATTATTTTTAACATGAAGTACACCCACACACAGTGCATTTCTCAACATTAACACTCCAGGTTTGTGTGTGACTCACTGCTTTAAACTGTGGTTTGTTTAAAAAGATTATTATCTCATCTTAATCTTCCCCCTGCCTCCCTGCAATATGTCCCTATTTTCAAAGCAAACCTACGCCCTCGCTGAGTTCGAGGTTGTTAAATTATTAGATCATGGCCATTTTAACACTTGTCATTGACTGTAGGCCTAGTTGGTTCGGGTCTCTGTCCTTGGTGCTTAAAACAGATAAAGAGCTAAAGGCACTCTCCGTGGTGCTGCTGTGATCTGCCGTGCTTTCTGTACGGTGGATAAAAAAAATCGTTGGATGATACCAGTGACGTGATTGGCTAGGTATCTGAAAAGAGGAAGCGGCGACAGCCGACTTCAAACAGCCAATTTAGACGTCATAACGCACAAAATTAAAACCTATTCACGTCATAGAACCAAAAGTAGCCTATATACTTTGGTTATGGCACAGATAAAAACATTGTAATCGCAAAACAAAGTATAAAATCGCCTTTGCCTCAGGGTTAACCATATGCCACGGACACGCCACAGCCCCGTGTGATGATTAGCTGACAAATGACAATTGATATTCATCACACGCGCACTTCAGCTTCCAGAGCCACCAGTGCGGTTACCTTCTGACTAAATCCCTTCGACACAATCTCTACCATATTCAGAGATTCAAAGACAGTGCATCGACTAAACGTAATTGAATAAAGTTAATTTAACAGTGCGGCGATATTGAGCAAGGGTCTGGCACTACAACAAATCTGCCCATGAGAAAATACAACGTTAATATAGGCAATGCGGTGATGCCATTGTGAGGCTTCGCTTTAATTTCGTATATATCACATCGGATATCAATGCTACTGCCCACCGCAAACGGCCATTTGTTTTTGTGAAAAAAAACTCTTCTCAATTCACTGCCATTAAAGCTAAAACAGTTGGTCATCATCGAAAGTTTGTTTGTGTGTATTAGATAGCCTAAAGACAGCAAAGTTTTATCTCGTAACATGAACAGCTTTAAACTAAACTAAAAATATAAATTATTTACTTGGAATCACTCACCATCAGATCCTCAAAGTTAAGGTCCAGCTTTAGTGCAATAGTATCAAGTATCACAGTCGGTTATGTGTACATCTGGCGCGTGGCCCTTGTGCTCGCGGAGAGAAACGGCATTCCGACAGGCGCTGAGGGGGGGTCATTCTCCGACAGGAGAGGCTGCAGAACATCCGATAAAAAAGCAACAAAAAAAAACAAACAAAGCGAACATCAACACGAACCATTCGTTAACAGACGGCTCAGAATTATTGAACTTAAATAATTTGCGGCAATTCCCGTTGGGCACGTGCGAGTCCCGTTCGCCGTGACGTAAGTCTTTGTAAATATCACTCGTGCAAATGTTAAAGCAGCACATGCATCCGAGAAAAGAGCAAGACGACCACTTCACAGCGTAGGCAGTGTAATAAAGGTTGTAAAATAGCCTGCTGCTATTTCAGAGCCCTATAGCTACTACAGTGTCTCTAAAATCTTAACCTTATGACGAGCAATCATAGCCAACACCCCTTACCTTACCAAAATGGCACACTCAAGACTTGTGAACGGATTTTTTTTTTTTTTTCAAATGAACGTAGGTGCGTGAAGCGATAGCCTACCCTATTTTGTGAATATCATTGCATTATCAGAACGAGATTGCAAGGCTAAAGGCTACTATCTCAACGTAACGTTTAGCCTACTGCAAATATCCTTACCTATTTTAAAGAGAGCAACTGGTGTCGTACCCCATCTTTACGTCCCGTTATCTGGCTTGACGAGCGTGAGCGCATGTAGCTATAGGCTATCCCATGCATCTCTAAGGAAGACAAATATCAGGTCTTGGGTTGTGAAGCGAGAACCCATCAACCGGTTCCATCAAACAAAATAGCATAACCAAATGATTTTCATGACGTTCGGTTCCGGTAACGATTCTCGATTCTGCATTGTTCCGCCGATGCAAAAGGAACAACGCGGTGAAATACTCTGACAGTGTTTCCCGTACTACCATACACTGCAACACCGCCACTGAATCAGCAGGAGACATGATACAGCCCGACCTATGTTTAACCAAAGACTCTGAGCCGGTTCTTTTAGTGATTCAAAAATACCAATAGAAGCTAGTCCAATTCTCTGACAAATGACTCGTATGAGCCGGTTCATTATATTTTATCATTACACTTTTGCTCATTGGGAGCGGAACTGAAATGTGTGACTCACTTACTGAACCCCAATGTAGGCTAATTCTTTCCTCACGTCCGATTCAAAATAAACCAAAATGTTAGGACCGGTGGAAACTTAAGACTCGTGGACCAGTGGTGACTTGTTCACATGATGTGTTTTGTTGTAATCAGGAAACCTATTACAAAAACAAAAAAATAATATATGACAATATTACAGTCTATTTAGTATGCCACCTATATTAAACTGTGATGTACTAATTTTTAAGGCGTTTTAAGTAGTAAATAGACCTTTTGGATTATGCTATCTGTTCTGTTAAAGAAAAAGATCCGATCAGCAACAGGCCCAATTAGGTTACTCCTCAAACGTGGTGGTCAGAGTTCTCCTCTTACCATGCCGTTAACGGGAACACGTGAGATGATGGACTATTAAAGCAATAATAAGGGGGGAAATATAAAACAGTTCCTCAGAAATATCGTGGGATGAATTCTAGCCTAGGTTGTTTTATTCTTCCCACCCCCCAAAAGCCGTCTGGTAAATTTTCACTTTAGCATGGCATCTAATTTGAAGAACAGCTCAATGCGTGTGGAAACAATGCAATGTTGTCGGTCGCGTGAGCGGCGCTGTTGAGCGCGCGATTAAAGTGACCCACTGCAGAGGTGGAAATGGTTGTAACCATCTAAGCTCGCGGGCACATCAGAGCCGCATAGCTGATTTAAAGAGACAACCTACCAGGTTTCACCCTTCGCATGTAGCGTGTTTTGGAGAATTGTATCGGGGGGGTTCACCCTGTTATTTCTTAAAAGCGTTTCTTACTCATTCTTAAGATTTCTATTTGTGTTTTTCTGCCTATTCATTATAGAGCTTGTGTGTGTGTGTGTGTGTGTGTGTGTGTGTGTGTGTGTGTGTGTGTGTGTGTGTGTGTGTGTGTGTGTGTGTGTGTGGCCAATGTCCCCACAAAGAGGGCAAATTATCCTTGTGGGGAAATTTTTGGTCCACACGAGGAAAACAGCTAAATCATACTAAGTGGGGTAGGGTTAGTGTGAGAGTATAGAATATACAGATTGTACAGTATAAAATCATGATGTGTATGGAAAGACCCTAACATGTGTGTGAGAGAGGTTTTCAGTAAAAAGTGAAAAAAATAAATAAAAATTGTTAAAGGTACTCATAGTAATTTTGGGCTAATTAAAAAAGTTTAGCCAACATTATATAAATTAAATACACTTCATGAAATTTCTCAAAACAACTGAGATTAGAATCTCACTTACCTGAGATAAATACTTATATCACAAAAAAAAAAAAACTTTTTTTTTTACTTTTTTATATCATTTTTTTCTTCAAGGAGCAGCTGCTACCCTGTTGACATCACCACTCGTGCCATGCAAATGACACCATGAGTTAATGCCACCATGAAATCATTATGGATCAGATTTCATGCGGAGAACGTTCGCTGACACACACACACACACAAACTCAATGTTGGTGTTGAGAATAAAGCATGTTAAATGACTAATACCTAGGTGATGTTTTTTTTAAAAAATATTAGAACAAAACTGTGTGGTCCAATCCATTGGCTACAGCAGCAGAAGACCCCACCGTACCACTCATCTCCACTACAAATAAGAAAAAGAGGCTACTATTTTCAAGAACTCACCAAAATTGGACTATTGAAGACTGGAAAAATGTTGCCTGGTCTGATGAGTCTCGATTTCTGTTGAGACATTCAGATAGAGTCAGAATTTGGCGTAAACAGAATGAGAACATGGATCCATTATGCCTTGTTACCACTGTGCAGGCTGGTGGTGGTGGTGTAATGGTGTGGGGGATGTTTTCTTGGCACACTTTAGGCCCCTAAGTGCCAATTAGACATTGTTTAAATGCCACGGCCGACCTGAACATTGTTTCTGTCCATGTCCCTTAATGGCCACCATCCTACTTCCAGCAGGATAATGCACCACGTCACAAAGCTTGAATCATTTGAAATTGGTTTCTTGAACATGACAATGAGTTTACTGTAATAAAATGGCCCCCACAGACACAAGATCTCAACCCAATAGAGCATCTTTGGGATGTGGTGAAACAGGAGCTTCATGCCCTGGATGTGCATCTCAGAAATATCCATACACTGCAAGATGCTATTCTACACTTTAAAAATGCTGGGTTGTTTCAAGCCAAAGTTGTGTCAAATATGGACAAATCCAACAATTGGGTAAAGTCTTATATTTAAAATTTTAACCCAATAGTTGTTTGTCCATATTTGACCCAACTTTGTCTTGAAACAACCCAGCATTTTTTAGACTGTATATATTGCAGACTTGTTCTCATGCATGCGCTATAAAAAATACTGGGTTGTTTCAAGCCAAAGTTGGGTCAAATATGGACAAACACAAACCCAACCATTGGGTAAAGTCTTATATTTTAACCCAATAGTTGGGTTTGTCCATATTTGACCCAACTTTGGCTTGAAACAAACCAGCATTTTTTAGAGTGAATATGGGCCAACGTTTCTAAAGAATGCTTCAGCACCTTGTTGAATCAATGTCACGTTGAATTAATGCAGTGCTGAAGGGGAAAGGGGGTCAAACACAGTATTAGTATGGTGTTCCTACACTCTAAAAAATGCTGGGTTGTTTTAACCCAACTTTGGGTCAAATATGGACTAACCCAGCCGTTGGGTTAAATTTTTACATTACATTTTTAACCCAACATTTCGGGTTTGTCCATATTTGACCCAAAATTGGGTTAAAACAACCCAGCATTTTTTAGAGTGTAATAATCCTTTAGGTGAGTGTACATCAATATATATTCACCACAGATGTGTTTTCCCCCCTGAAGTGGTAAATCTGTTACCTTTTTTAAAGTCATCTTAAAACAATGACCACCCACTTGTTCTGTACCATGTTAGGTCTCAGTATTGCAATGCCGTAGGGACGGGTACATTTTCACCCAGTCACCCACGTTGTTAAATGAAAACAGTCCCCAGCTAAAGTCTCTCCTGATTATCAGCAGTGGAGCAGCTGCTAGCTTTCATACAATGCCCTCATGTTTTTTCACAAGTGTTCCTAGTATTTTTTTGTTGTTGTTGTTTTCTGTGAGACTCGTTATATGCAGTTACACTACAATGCTATTCAATAAGGTTATATTAGCATCCTAATTGAAATTTATAAAGAAATTGCCCTAGAGAATACTGAAAGGTCCCTCATCCAGTTGTTGTTGCGTTAAAAGCATAACTAGCCAAAGTGTAATTAAACTCTGTAACTTGGTTCCTATGCCAACAAGACTATATCCCACTTGACTGTTTTCAATTTAAGATGAAAGAATTGCTTCTAGGAAATATCTTGGCAAATCCAATGTATTGTACTGTGCAAATAGATGTTAAATATACACTGACTAAACTATCTTTTTGCCAGACACTTAAAAAAAATCTTTGCCTTAGGTCAGGTCTTGATGCATTGGATACCATTAAAACTGAAAATATCAATGTCTGAGTGAAAGTTCATAGTGTAAGCTTGTTTGAAGCACAAATTCAGATTTGTCAGGTTTGTCAATCTTGATGAATTCAATCTGATTTCAGATTCTGAAAGTGCTGTTTAAATGAACCCTAAACTCTGTAATTATTTACTATTCACATATTCGTGTACATGTGCATCATGTATTCCGAACAAAACTTCAGCATATGTACAGAGCCCAGACAGACGCAACAGAACATGATAAAGCCATTGCAATAATGTCACTGTAACTACAGTGAGTATGATTGTAATGTTTGACAGTCTATAAACATAAAGATCATGGTAATGTACAAGGCATTATTGAATCCAATTGAGAAAATAGTCAGATTCAAGCATTTATATAAGTATTTAAGGTATACACCACCCCTACCAATCTAATTTAAATTTGAGGTTTAAATCAGGGGTGCATTTTTCAAAGACATTGTGAGCTAAGTGATTGTACAGACAATTGGTACCAGTGGTTCTACAATTTACTTAGGCTTAGTGCTTTTGAGAAATGCAGCCCAGTTTGATTTAAGCATTTACATGAAGGCTTTTCGTTTTTATCGAGCCAAGAATTAATTGGTTGCATGTAAACATATCTATTGATGTGTACATTTTATAAATAATTTGTTGACTTTGTTGATGAATGTTTTAAGGACTAATTTCCTTGGCTTAACTGATGGTCTTAAATGCATAAAATGAATGTACAACAGCTACCTGGTGCCAGCACTATGAGTCTATGAGAATTTCCCATTCATCAAATAATCCTGAAAAAAATCTTTCACAGTTTCCACCCAAAAAATTAAGCATTAAGCAAATCAACATTGATAATGTGATGTAATGCAAATGTGTTTTTGAGCACAAAATCAGCATATTAGGATGGTATCTGACATTTGAAGACTGCTGAAAATTTAGCTTTTCCATCTCAGGACTAAATTACATGAGCAAAATATTTTTAAAAATAGCCAACAGTTATTATAAATTGTTATAATATTATATAACAGTATTGCTGTTTCATTGAATATTTGATCTAATAATGCAGTCTTCTAAAAATACCCAAAATATTTTGAAAGGTATAGGGTATTTAATTCATGTGTTTGTTTGTTTGTTTGTTTTCTACTTCTACAGGTGCCATTTCAAACATTGATTCTTATATCTTCAGCAAGGATGAGCAGAAGAAGGGATTCGCTATAGTGCTTCAATCAAATGAAAGACAATTATCTAGGAATCAAAGGAGTAAACAAAGGCAGCATAACAGCATGTATAAATAAACAAGACAACACCTGACTAAGAACAGAACCAAACTCAGGACTTAAAGGATTAGTTTACCCAAGAATACAGATAGATATTTAAAACAGATATTTTAAAGACTGTTGGTA